GGTCAAATAAAGTCCATACGAAGTTCTATTTTGGCTCATTTGATTGATAGTGGTCACCAAGTGGACAAAAATAGTGCTTTCAAAGTTATTTACCGCATTCCATCAAGTCTTTCGAACGGAATCAGAACCCGTCTTTTACACTTAGCCGAAGCTATGGGAATTCGAGAGAACAATCCTAGTCTTTGTATACAAAAGAAATTTGTTCTACCTTTGTCTCTCCCTTGGCCTAGGTGAATTCTATTCAAAACCCTCCCACCCTTTCTTATCATCCCTCTCCTTCGTACTTTTATGATATTTATTTAAACTCTGATTATCGTTCCATTTGATTTGACCTAATTTATTTATTTATTGAATTGTCTACATATATGCATATACTAACTTTGTTATTCTTATCACCTATATAAGCCTTATTAACAATATTTTGTTATTATTATAATCATCGCTATTAACTTCGTTCAAAACATTTACCACAATATTATTACTATTATTATTATGATTATGATTACTATTATTATTTGATCCACTAAATCACCGTCATTGGTTAAAATTTTATATATATAAGTCTATGTAAATTAGAGTAAAGCCTGAAGAAGATCTAATTGAAAACAATATTGTTCGCTTATATGTCTTGTTCTAACCATGTTAGTTGTAAAGAAACTACGAAATGATGATATCATCTCGTGAAATTTGTCTTCTTAATGCCTTATTCAAATTTATCAAAGGGACTAATTGTTTTAATTAACATTATTCGACCGTCGATTAAAAGCACACATAAACACACACACGCACAGTGACACAGTATGATTAACGGAATGACGTTTTTAGAGCACAGTTTATCGTTCACTCATAATTATCATTATATCAGGTTAATACTCACATGACGTTCAAAAATTGTTAATGTAAAACTGTTATTTTCTTTTTTAATCCTTTAATTTTACGAGTAATAACTACTTTCTACATATCTCCAGCATTATTGATCTTACGTCATCCTTATTTCACGTGTTCTGTATAGATTTAATGAAGTGAGGCAGAGAGAGATTCGGTTATCAACCTGTCTTTCCACCATCTGCCTATATTACATTTTAGAACTGTAGGCTTGTTCCACTCTGTTTTGTGCGGTTTTGTGCATAGTGCATACACACATTGCATAGCAATACATGGAACATCAAAGAATAAGATAGATATCTCGGAATTATGTGAGCGAAAAAACGTTTACAAATTTGTGTGAGTAAGTGCCTTGATATAATGATTAGAAGCGAGAAATCAATGGTGCTCCAAAACGTCATCTGTAGGTGACACTGTATACCTAACTTTGTGTGCTATTTTGTAAAATATATTTATTCTGTGATTAAAATAGTCGCAGTTTCACCATTGACTAATTTTTACTATGTCACTGAGGTGTCTGGTGATTACACTTGCAAACCCTTGCCTACTTTATCAACGAAGACTGAATATTTTTTTTAACAGTCACATGGTTTCTGATGTCATCAGTTTCACATGTGACTGGCTAATGAATAAAACTACTATGTGAGCACAAAAAAAAACGGAGGCTTATTCCTTATAAATGAGAAGAGCTTCTGTTGCTTGAAGACGGGCAAAATCTTTTTCAGCGACCTGATCTGACTTTATACATGATTCAGAATGCCCTCCGCCCTCCCCGCCTCTGGATAACTGTCACTATTTCTAGTCCTATGGGGAGGGGGGGGAAGAATACACGTCATACTGTCTGAAATTCTTTCTTCTCCGTGTTTTTGTAGGCAGTACCCCACCCCGCGTGTGTCCTGTGTTCAGGAGCAGTTTGTTCAATCTCTCTTCCTTCCTCGGCCTACGCTCCCAACCTAAAATAGTTATCTCTTACGGAGACAAACCGGATAATTCTACATTTTATCTTATTATATTTTTATTTTATTTTATTTTTAATGCTGAATGTATTATCAATATCATGCTGTGCTGTAGTTGAACATTTTAGTCCCGGTTTCACAACTTATCATTACTGTTATTATATTATCTAATTGCTATGTGATAATAGCAATAAGTCATTAGTAGTAATTCCATACACGGAAGGAACCTCGGTAACCACCTTACGCAGAATTCTTAACAAGGCAACCAGGAATAAAAGTGGCTGGCATTCAAACCAACCACAAACTCACTTAGAAACAAGCTTCTTCAGTCAAAGGATCCCGTGGAGCCTTTAAAACAGAACAATTTAGTTTACCTAATATTCTGCTGTCAGTGATTGTCAGGTCAAATACATAGGTCAAACTAGTAGAACAAGTGCAAACAGACTAGCTGAACATAAAAACCTAGCAAAATCTAGATTAGTTGTCCCGAATAAGATAAGAAATCTAGAGAATAGTTCAACTGTAGCACTCACTGCATTCAATTACACACAGTAGGATGGGATAAGATGACAAGTTTAAAATCTAATGTAACAGAGGTAGTAATATATGTATATGTAGATAATTCAATAAATAAGTGAGGCCAAATCTTAAAAGTTACGTAAGACTAAAGGTGAAGTGGACAGATAATAAGAGTTTGAATAAATATCATAAAAATACGAAAGAGATGGGAAATAAGAAAAGGTGGGGGGTTTTGAATAGAATTCACCTAGGCCAAGGGAGAGACAAAGGTTAAACAAACTTCCTTTGTACACAAGGACTACGATTGTTCTCTCGAATTAATTCCCATAGCTTCGGCTATGTGTAGAAGACGGGTTCTGATTCCGTTCAAAAGACTCGATGGAATGCAATAGATAATTTTGAAGGCACTACTTTTGTCCTTTTGGTGAACGCTATCAATCAAATGAGCCAAAATAGAACTTCGTATAGATTTTATTTGACCTTTTGCGAACCCTGAAAGAAGACGCTCATTAATGCGTTTGTTAAGCTGTCTAGTTGTTTGCCCTATATAGCTTTCTCCACAGGAGCAACTAAATTTTGTAGATACACATGGAAGTGGCACAGCTAGGTAGCATATCTTTCACTTGAGCGATCAAAATTGGTCGGCTGGAAAATGACAAACAAGGGGTGACGACAGTATAAGTTCGTTTTATCGCTCTCGATAATCTCAGATGTAAGACTTCGCTAGCCACGTTCCCATTAAATTGCAATTTCATGAACAGTTGTTTCTTTTCAATTGTTATCAGTTTCTCTTTATTGTACCTGGTGTTCATGGGTATGCTTACAAATCTACTACGATAACCCATTTGGACCAGCGTATTTTGGATGTATCTTAACTCATTTTGTAGGGAGTCATCTGTACAGATACGTCTTGCTCTATTCGTGAGGCCTCTGACCAAATTGACTTTGTATCGGATTGGTACAAAAGCTTTGTTTATCGAATCAACTGCAAATACATGTAATAGGAATGATTCAACACCTGTCCTCCTGGACATCTGGAAAATTCTACTACCCCTACTACGACGACAAATAGGAGGGAACAAAGGAAACTGTAAAAGTCAAGCTTCGAAGTTGTGTGATTATAATTGATGAAATGATTATGAAGAGCAATAAATTTTGTTCGAAACCTTGTCATCCAGTAAATAATACTGTTTCATCGACTGTGTGATACATCTAATAAACAAACTAATGTGGAATTACTTACTACCACAGTGCCCAAGTTTTACCCACATATGGCGATAATAGTTACTTTCCCCTCTACCCTACTAGTATACACATTCTATCTACATAGTCATCGTTGCCCAGATTATGTAAACACTCGAATGAATTTATCCCTGTTATTATTGTTATTATGATCCCCTCGATTGTTATCAATTAATTCACATCCCTGAACTCTGATCCTTTATGTCTCCTATTAACCACATTTATCATTCAGATGCCTATGACTAATATCTCATCATTAAGTAAATGTCGAAGCCTGATGAGAATTTACCAGAAAACTAGATCGAGACATTGAGTCCCCTATTTAAGGAAGAAATAGCGAAACGAGTGTCTGAGGTTGACAGCAGGACTTCCCCTGAGGTAACCTGGCACAACATACAGTTATATGTAGAAACAGCTGTAAAAGCTGTTAATAAGCTAAAACCAAAAGTTAGTAAGAGCCATTGGATTTCTACCGTCTCATCCGAATTGACTGAAACAAGAAGGCTGATTCCGGCGAGCTCCGATTATGATGAGGAGCTAAAGTTACTCAAACGAAAACTAACAAAAAGTCATCGCAACGACCGTGAACAGTGGTGGCTGGCGACAATAGCAAAAGAGATGGAAAAGGCATCGACAGTTGGCAACACCAGACAATTATTAAGGTTTATCAGAGAAACAGGTGGCTAAAAGCAAATGATAAGTGAAACAATCTCTGAGAAAAATGGCACCTATAATTAGCTCCCAGGATAGACGACTGGAACGCTGAATAGAACACTATGAGGAGCAGTTTAATTGGCCTATAGCCACGCTCAGCCTACCGAACATCCAACACCTCCCTGAATAGGATATAGACATAGGCCTTCCTCGACGGGTAATGTTAGCTGACATAGGGTCAGACTGGAAAAGAGCTAGTAGTGGTTAAGCCAAAACATGACACCATTCAATGAAATCCAGTTAGTTAAAGCCAGCCACATAGGAAGGTGAAGACTTCCTGACTAACTGGTTTGGGTAAAAACCATTGGTAAAAACCAATGAATGCCGGAAACAATTGGTGATATGGCTGAAAATCGTTCTCAAAGGCCAGCGCAGATGCATCCAATCCTTGTGACTTATAATTTCCAATGAAACTGTATCGTTCTGCGTTACTACTATTCCTTTGTCTCACACCTCTGTTTACTCTCTCTATTATGCATTTCTTCCACTTTTTTCCCTTGCATTGTGTGCTGCAAGTTGGGAGTGTGACGACTTGAACTGCTGCACGTCGGTGCAAAGTTCTATGTCGAAAACAGACAGACAGACAGACCGGAAAAAAGATCGTATTTGCTTTCATGCTTTATCAGGAGATATAAAAAAGAAAGAAACCCATCGAAAAGTATTCCACAAACGAGTGAAACTTACTCATTGTACTACTAGGCACTGCTGTAGGCAATGGTGTTTCTGAACTATAAGTACCATGATCGTTGACAGTTGTTCTTTGTTGATTGAATACAGAATGATTGGTTACTGTAGGAAGGCGTAGAGTGCATGGTAGAGCACCTTGTCGATTTAGGTGATAATGAACAAAAGCTGCTAAACTTGGAAATGTTGGATCACTAGAAAATCCACGCAAGTGAACACCATTCCCACGTCCATCATGCATAGGTACAGTACCGATGAGAAAATGACGAACCCACTCTGATTGATTATCATCTACTCGATAAAACAAAATCAATTATATTGATTATTATTCATTAGTCAATATTTGAATACTTCATCAAGAAAACAAACAATCTTATGAGGGGAATGTGCTTCTTTCTGTTTGAAAGTGGGGAGACTTCACCGGAAGACCTCAAAATTTTCAGGAGAAGAGGAATCCAAGGAGAAAAATTCCATTTTTCAACGTCTTACTTAAGTGAACATCTACGGTATACGGGAAATCTACACACACACACAGAGATAAAATACTGAATTACAACCTCAACAAATCAATAACTAACACACAAAAACAGTTGCTTAGAAACGTTATTCAAGAGAGCCAGGACTCACTGCAATACTCATGCCCTGAGAAAATTGAGGCGAAAGATCTTATGGATGTTTTCCAAGAAAACTCAGAATAACTGTGAAACCTCATTAAAACACATCTACCCCCAACACTGTCAAACAAATCAAGGGAATGGAGGATTTCATTATGAGGTGACACCAGTTAGAGAACCACTGGAAAACCACCTGAGAATACTGGACAGCTATTTCAATTTTCCTAGTTTGGGACTCTTCATCAGTACGCACCCACCGCCAGGGTGCGAACCCAGAATCTTTTGGTTATAAGGCCAGCGAGCTAGTAGACTATTGAGCCACTGGGACCTGATCCAACGGCCGAAACAGCTGTCCAGTACTCCCAGCTGGTTTTCCAGTGGTTCTCTAACTGATGTGAGCTTATGATGAAATCCTCCGCCCAATCAAACAAAATCCTTACAGAACTAATACTTGAAAACTAATCTGATGCTCACTAGTGACTGGCGTCCCTATTCAGGCAGATACCTGTAGTTCAGATGGGAAACCGTGACCACTAAGGTACAGACGGTTGAAGGTGAGGCAGTAGCTCATCGAAGAAGACATTGAGAAGTGGTAGTGCTATGATGTGAATTGGCAGGAGTTAGAATTCATGGGTTTTCTATTAGATTGGACCCAAGTGGCTGATGAATGGTCTACGAGCTCGCTAGCCTTGTAACCAGAAGGTCGTGGGTTTGAACCGTGGCAGTGTGTGCGTACTGATGAAGAGTACCAAACTAGGACGAAACGGTTGTTTAGTGCTTCAAGGTTTTCCAATGGTTCTCTCATTGATTTCATCTCACTGTGAAATCCTGAAAAAAATGATATCACTGCAAACCAACAATGGAATACTCTTTATTTTAATTGGGAAGAATTTTCCACATACGTGGGGGTAAAATATGGTGTTTAATCTGTTTCATTACGAGTGCTACGTTAATGTTTCTTGTAAATAAACAGCTTTCTGATGTATAATACAGGACAGATTCTGTAATCAAATGAATGGTATGTTTCTAGGGTCACTGGTGTGTCCTCACTCCATCGGACTCTTATTTTAGTTGTTATAATTGTTGCATTGATCGGTCGCTGTAGAATAGTCAGTATTATGTTTCTAATCTTTATTGCTGTCTCTAACTGCACCCTACAAGTCCAGTTGCAATGCTGTCATCGATATAGGTGACTCGACTTTGGGGTTCACTTTGAACTGAGGTAAGGTGTTAGGAGCTAGTTGACAGGAAGCTCCATCTGAACTAGGTTTTATGCTTGTTGGTACTAAGTAGCAAGGTATACCTGCAATTTAGGAGGAACTGACAACCCCTTAGGGATTCGAAACTGAGTTGTTCAGTGCTTTAGTCAGACACATTAAAACTGAGTTATTTGACCTAACGATTGCCCTACTGTGTATCAGGGTTCACATAACCTTTAACCCGGTAACTGAAATCTCATTTCGAACTGTGTAAATTGTGAATGAATTCTCAAAAACAAGAACAAAGACTAACTGAACAACCAATCACAGCAGACTTTGCGTGGGTGGATACGATTTGCAGATATATGGTCTGACATTCAAAGAAATAGCTACAAAGAGATGAAAGAATAACTATTAGCGAGAAAACAACCAATCAGAAGACACTGTTTCTCTGCTGACAATAACGAATGATAACGTATATAAAAATCTATAAATATCTGTTGATTTCCTCAATAAACGATCTATTGCCTGGTCTGTTGTCTACTCCCAAAATGGTTGGTTTAAAGGGATTTAGCTGATTGGTATGGGTCAGACTGGGTACATTGCTGATGAGATTGACCCCAAATGAGCTAAACGGTAATCCGGTATTTAAATCATTTCTACCTAGCTAGCAAGCAAGTACTACTGGCTACTGTGAGTGGTATTCAACGTTTTATCGCAGCCAATCACTAGTAATGTGGTGTATTGGGTTCACATACTGATCCATGTCAAACAAAGCTGGCATCACAAATGAACTTGATCGCAAAAGAGAACGAATCAGTCATCGAATGTTATTATCACATGTTGGTCTGTCTAACAGGCATCACTGTTTGATATGAGTGACACCGAACTACTCAAATCGAGTGAGTAGTATATGTTATCATGAAATCACACAGATCATTGTTCCCAGGGGAACATAGGACGCCTTCAGTCTAGAGCTCTGAAGTTTCTGTAGGAATGGTGATTATTGTTTCAGGATGGGGTTGCTAGCCAGCCTCGTGCCCCTCAACCTTCCCTCCTTACCAGTTTTACTACTGGCTTAACGAGGTAAAGGAGTTCGCCGGTGGCCGGGGAGCAAACCACGGACTACATGTGGAGTGGTCGGCGAGCACTCTACCGCTGTGCCACCGACGCACTAAGAAAGAAACAAAAACACTGTGGACTTTTTAAAAAGTAAAACAACACCAAATAACTAACCTTTGTTAGGCAACCCCCTTGGTGAACTTGGTGGAATTTTCAGTGCCAAACCAAAACTGTCAGCATACGTGTTACTGTTACGAATAACAAAACTGCCAGGTTCTTTGTCGCGTAATAATGCGATTACTGAAATAGCAATTATGAAATTTAATTAATGAGACGATAGAAAAGATATTTCTCATTTAAAAAAACATATAAGAGAATATGAAATAGTTTACGTATGGCAACCGAAGCCTTTGGTTTTGAGGTTTTAAATAATGTAAGATGGTTGAAGGCGATCGGCCATAGGAAGCCCTACTTGACCTAGGTTTAGTGCTAGTTAGTAGACACCAGTCAGTCAGCGAGGCAGGTGTATCTGCAACCGCCTTGAAGGGATTTATGTCCATTCTGATATTCGGAATCGCATGAGCCAGTGCTGTCTGAAGTCAGAGACGCTCCTACTCACTTAGGTAGCTATTCAGGCTAGCGATTCACCTCCTGTAAGTCTACAATGAATATTTTTGATTAGGTGCTAGTGAGTGAATGTTGTAGTGTGTCTAGTTCTTCGTGTGTTGCATACTGAATTCGGTCAGTTACGTTCGCAATGTCGCTACTGGTGCCAATGGGTGGCTTGCCATCATCTGCATTAACTAACGTCCAATCAAAAGAATCTAGAAGAATGCTGAATGTTACTAACCAATCGATGATGAGAAGGCGTACATTTCATTCATGGCTTATGATTGGCTAAAGTCGCATTGAATTCTGATAACATCCTACCGAATAGGCATGTCATAACAGACGTATTACATAAGAGTCGATAGTTTAAAGGTTGAATATTTACTAAACGTGCAGGAGATCATGATTCATTTCGTGGCTGACGAACTCCTAAACCTTAGGCTAGAGAAAATAGATGGAATACTGGGTGTGAGGCTAACAACTATGCCTCAAAGAAACAACACTCCAGATACTGGGACTTTAAAGCTTAGCGTATGAAGGCCTATTTTCCACTGGGAACATAAAGAATCGCAAATGACGTTATTATATATATATATGGACTGTAATAAGACAAAACAGATCTTCGGTCTGACCCCTAACAGTTATTTTTATCATTATTATTCCCTTGCGTTCCTAGTGGAACAAAGGGCTTCAGCTACAATCTCCACTTTTTTCTGTTTTCCGCCGTGCTCTTCAACTGGGTCTATGACTGACCAAACTCTCTCATCTCTTCCCCACACGATCACCTCCATGTCACCCTCACACTGACGACTCACTCGTCGCTTCTTATTTGGATTCCACTCGAGCTATGGCCTGGTGTGCGATGTCATTCGGTAGCCTTCTCAATGCATGCCCGATCAATCCATCCCCACTTTCTTCCACATATTTGTTGAGCTATCGGCTCTTGCCTGTTGGTTTGTTACCCTAAATTTCTTGTTGCTTTTTCTTTCTGGCCGGCCATTTAGTCTTCAGTGTGGAGCCAGCCAGCCAGCGAAGTAGGCAGTTGTTGATGAAAGCCTGCAGCCTGTTGGAAGTCTTTTTTTATGACACGCAATGCAAGTTTATAACCCGTATAGAAGAAATGACTTCACATTGGTGTTGAAAATGCGAATCTCGTTACTTATGCTGAGTGCGGAAGATCTCCAAACTGGTTTCAGGTTGATGAAAGCGTATCTTGCCTTACCCATTCTGACTGGCTTTGATATCTTTGTCCGTTCCAACTGCCTGTAGTTGAAACAAACTTCTAACAGTATCGATCATGTACACTGATAAAGAGTCTTAAGCTGATCATGACAAAACTATCCAGATCTCTTTGGCTTTTAATGACTCTATACTGAAGTTTTCGATTGGTGACATCGCGCGTCAAGCCCTCGAGTGGAACCCGAAAGGGAAGCGGCGAGTGGGACGTCCAAGGGTGACTTGGAGGAGATCGTGTGAAGAGGAGTTAAAACAGTATTGACTAACAGTATTGTTCCACTAGGAACCCAAGGGAACAATAATAATAATAATATATTGAAATACGTGAAAACCGCCACAAAACCCGAACTAAACAATTATCATCAGTGAGTATATCTCATCTCAGTGACTTGACTGTCCTCAAAAAGGCAGTAGTTGGCAGTATATCTTCCACGAACATTTCACAGAGATTTAATCAATAATTTGCTGCTTTTTGTCTGAGCAACAAATGGTTAGTTCTTAGTATAAATATGTAAGTTGAAATGAATAAATCGAAAGTAGACGAACAAGGATTTCGCTGCTTTAATCGATAATAAATGTTAACACTTCCTCCCTCTGTTAAATGAACATAAAATAAGTTCATTCCCGTAGTCGATTCCTTATCTGACTGGCTAATTGATATCGTATCCTCTTCTATTCACGTTGTAAAACGGACCTGCCCTATCTTCTTCTCCCTTTCGATTTTTGGAATGGACACATAAGACTCTAGGCTTTGAAGTAGCCATATTGTATTTTTCTTTTATCAACGGTAGGATGTTCCTCAATCATGCTCCTCAACGGAAGTTCAATTCCTGCCCGACGCACCTATACACCTCATCTAGTCTTCAAGTCTCTGGTTAGCCCAGAAAAGAAGAGGGAAGCTGCATGTGAGGCTCACAGCACCTAACCTACTAGTAAAACAATCCTGGGTCACAATACAAAAAATGACTACTACTACAGAAACAGAAACATACCATCTGGACGTGAAATCCCTGGCAAGTACCAGTATTTTGATGTATCAACCACTTGACGCATTCCTGCTACATCACCGTCTACACCATCAACAACGACATTGGTACCAGACAAACTTCCGGCTGGAGAGACTAAAATTTAATGTAAAATTATTATTATCATTATTATTATTATTACTATCACTAACAGGACATTTCATACATCTAATATGTTTTTCTTTATTATATTCAAAAAATCTATAAAGTAACTCGTTTAAGTAGGTGTTTACAGTTCATTGAAAAAAAGTGTTCTAGTGGTATTACTGAATAGCTTGCCTAGAATGTTAACGATAGGCTTCACAGTTAAGTTAGTCTGCTTGCCGTATAGAACACTAATAAAATGGTGTGCTTATTATTTTCATCATTATAATTCCCTTGTGTTGCGATTGAAACATATGGCATTCTCCGCAGTCTTTCTTGGCCGATCCAACGACTGCCCAAAAGCTTTCACCTCTTCTTCTCCCTCTTTTTCGTATACTCCCTCTATTTCTCAACACTTAGGACCTACGTCGAATTTGTCTCTTACCATCCTGGTCTCATTACAGGGTTTGGCTCAGCATTTGATATTCGTTAAAAAGTGAATAGGGCAACTGTTGATGTAATGTCTTCAGCATACAGAAAATCTGACTTGACGCTGGTTTTGACAATCCCCATTGAATTCCTTATGCTGAGTACGAGAGAGATTTACATACTGGTATGAGATCAATGAAGATGAAACTTGCCTTTTCAATCTATATCTCGATACCCCTAGAGATAGGGTCATGATGAATACTGTGTTAAAATAAGAATCCTTTTGTATCTTAAGTTAACTTACAAAGGGGAAATTGCTGCTGACATTCTAAAATGTCGACTCAATAGAGCAGTAGAGAGAGAGAACATTTCCTGCAGCCAAACTGATACTCAACACTTCTCAACTGAACCAGTTCTACTCACAGAACGAGTCAAGGATAAATTACCAAACATGGTCCCATCGATATGTATCTATGAATTCAACTGCTCATGTGAAGCTAATTACACTGATTGTACTCAAAGGGGCTTTATCCATGAGAACACGTGAACATGTACCTGTATGATCGAATAAAAAGGTAACCAAGCGTGTAAGCAGTGCAATTTTAACCCACTTGGTCGATACTAAACACTGGATAAAAACAAGAGCAGGCGTTCTCGTTCACTTAACACATTCCTGATAATTTATCTAGAGGAGGAGCTAGACTATCAGCAGCTGAAATGGTAGCAATCAATATCAGAAGGAGGGGCTGTTTGTAAACGGTAAATGGATGTTCAGCTACTAGTTTTACCTTGGCCTGCAGTGTAAGGCCAACAAATCCCTCCATAAACATTAACACTTTAAATTCCTATCACAATTCTCTTTTCTTTTCTTCATCTTCTATCTCTTTGTTCCATTGACAGACATTTATTTTTGACTTTTCTTTTATGACTTCATCACCTTTCTTATGATTTCTATTGCCATAGATTTAAAGAATACTTTTTTCTAACTTGTCATCATATTTACAAAATCCTGTTCATTCCAGTTCACTAGATTCATTATTATTCTTATTTGACAATCACTCACCAATAGTACCTTTACGTTTACACCACATCATCGTTATTACTGTTTCACAGTCATTATTATTGTTGTTATTTTCATCCTTGAACTTACGTCTAGTCCACCTCTATCCGTTGGTTTATTTTTCTGTAGTATTCATAGTGTCTCACACACCATTGACTACATTCACCCTCGAAACATATATATATATATATATATATATATATACATATATATATATATATATATATGTATATGTATATATATCAATCCGTGATCGACTTTTAAAAGAAACTGTCCTTACAAACCAACTAAAGAAAATTAATCTGATGTTCGCTAGTAACTTGCTGCAGTACAGTCAGAGTTTCCTGGAGTTCTATTGAAAAGCCGTGACCAGTGAGGTCCATCCAGATGTCAAGTGTCCCAGCAATGACATTGGTTGAGGCCAGTCGCGCTATACCACGAACTGATAGAAGTCAGAATTCATGAACCATTGAAAAGGGTCCCAGTGGCTGCTGAGTTACTTGTCGGTAGACGCTGTTAACCTCTGAAAAATGAGATACTATTTATCCGATTGGAATTTCCAAAACAACATCTGGATTAGCCGTCTGTATTTAGAATCAACTTTCCAACCAGAAGTTAGTTAGTGGATGGTGAGTAGCAGCAATGGAATCCAGGATGCGCATTTCGTCCTATTTGTGAATTGTTATCTGGTTGCACCCGTGTTCCCCACTCAGTGAGTGATGATTTTTCCACCGAGGCTCAAACCCAGTGCCCATAGTTTCAAACACCAAGTGTTATCCACTAGACCACTTGGGCCACGAGAGCCACTGCCTGTTGTGCAACGGGTCATATTATTGTTTAATTCAATTTTTAGATTTTCCGTTGATTGATTCGACTGAAGTGCTCGGTCTCAGATTTCACTGTTAGTCACCATCCACCAATGAACTTCAATTCACATGACCAGACATCGTCGAAGCATCTGCACAAGAAGCCGACATGTCGACCTGAGACCAAGCACTTTGATTCAATTAATCGAAGGGGAAATCTAAAATTAAATTAAATGATATTCTGACCACAGCAGTCTTCATCAAATGGTTGGGTTCGCTCATGATATTGACCAAAACAGGGTATACTAACTAGAAATATTCTTCCTAAAGAGTGTGGTAGATGGACTTAAAACAACTGGATGCAATTCACATTGTCATAATTAACCCATTTCGAGGAGGTGGAGTCTCACTAAAGTTTCTTTTGAAGACCAAATTATTCCAATAGCAATGTGTTATACATTGATAGAGTAAGTGTCAATCAAGAAAGCATGGATAACTGAATGACACTATATATACTACTGATTGAATGGGATGAGCAGTTGTGTAATACTCATTTCAAACAGTAGTAGTGTTTACTAACTGACCAGTTCGAAGTGATCTAAATTCACACAACTTTATAACTTCGTTTATATAATTCCATCAATATTTTTCATCTCTTGATTTGATTTCGGGTATGATTGGTGAGTCATTCCTACTGCACATGTTGAGTGTAGACTCGATGAACAAGAATTCAACAAGAATCAACCTCTCTCTCCACTTGCCTAGATTAACCTTATAGAATTTTAAGCCTCTCCCACTCTATTGTGTGGTGGTGTGTTCATGTATGCAGCCCTGTTGCAGAGCTTTTTGAGAAATTACTTATCTTTGTGGGTGGGGTCAACCATTCTTACCTTTAAAACAAGCAATAAAGGTTAATAAAGCAGGATTTAATGAATTCATCAAATTTCGGTAGATCCCTTCCTCCGCTGAATACTCTACATACACGGATATGTATATATACTTTTGAAATTACATTAGGAGATACAAGACTGATAAGCACAAATAAACTACATTGAATTAGTCATGCAGAATGAGGACAGGTGCGAATGTTTTCTAGGTCATGTTCAAGTAGATAAGGGGAGAGAGAGTATGAGAGATCAAAATTAAGAAAAATCGCATTAGGCTTCAATTACATCACTTAGATAAGCGATTGGTCATTAGAGAATATAACAAGAATTGCAAACAGAGTAATATCAATAGTATTTGTTATAATAACAATAATAAGAGTGTTTAAGTGAGTTAACATAATCCTGCTGATAAAGGATAGTTTTAGATGAATCAAGAATAATAATAATGATAATAATAATAACGATAACAATAAGAAGAAGAGGTAGAATAATAGTAATAACAAGTAGAGAATAATAAGTAAAACGTATTACCATGGTAGATTCAGAGTCACTACCATCTCCTTTTGTATACAGAGAGCTGGTTTATAAATTCAAATAGCACAAGCCTCTGCAATTGCAAGCATCTTCCTGTTTCTTTGTTTGCTGGCGATGGTGAATGACTTGACGGCGTCGATATCATGTCTGTAATCCACGAGATGTTTTGTTATTGAGGATTTTAGGACATTGTACTCAGCTGTTTTCAACCATTTTGGCAAATGCTCAATCATGCGAGTAGACAATCACCTTTCCGTACGACCTATGTATTTGCTGCCACAAACACACTCAAATTGATATATGTAGTTTGAAGTGTCGAGGATTGGCGACTGGTCTATCCCAGATTGTTGAAGCACTCGCTTAGTGGTGTCAAGACAAACAAGTTTTGCAGCATAATAAGTTCTCTTGATGGCTTTATCGAGTCTTCGTTTGACTGCTTCATGTACATCATCTCCTTTGAACGGCGAATTGATACAGACAGGTTTCTTTGGAACTGTTCGAATTGTTTTGCAGGGGGTAGTTTCCTTAGAGTATTTATTAATGAACTTGTCAGGATATTTATTCTTAGATAAAATATCCTTCAGAGATTTTATTTCATGTTCAATAGTACTGTCAGAACAAATTTTTCATGCTCTTTTGGACAATGTTCTGCCTAGGTTCTTCTTACCTTCACTAGATTCTCTTGTTCGGACAATATAACTACCATCATCCTACTAGTTTGACCTATGTAATTGACCTTACTCACAGTCATTGCAAGGTATTTTGTAGATTATTTTATTTTGTCTAACTGGGTCAACCCACCAGGCCCTTTTTAACCTACAGAGTTTGTCCTGCCTGAGTGAGTTTGTAGGTCTGAATGCCAGTCCAATTTCTGCTTCATTCAGAGTCCTACGTAGTATCTCAGATGTCTCCTCCTTATATGGTAAAACTGTAGATGTCTTATATTCTCTCCTATTTATGTTATCATTATTAATTTCACTATTATTTTTATTTTGCTGTTAACGTCTTTTGATATTTCTAATGAATTTTGTAGGATGATTATTAGATGCCAAAGCTTCTTCTATCCTTTTTATTTCATCATTTAGGTATTATAAACGCGTTTATAAAAAAAAATCAAAGCATTCACATGCAATAGGAATGACTAATCACTTATATCGGAAATATGGAAAATACTACTACCAATCATCAAGTCAAGCGATGGAAAATAATGATGGAATTATATAGACGAAGTTAGAAAGTTGTGTAGGTAGTGCCTTGATATGATTAGGAGTAGTGATAAATCGTGCTCAAAACATTGTCAGTAAACAGTAAACATTACTGTATAACACCTCTGTGAGACTTTGATCAGATAAATTTTACCCATAATAGAGTTATACTCTGTACCTCCACAGTGTACAAGTTTTATTCTTCTGCGAAGTGATCTAAACACTTGATCAACGTTCTGCTAATTTAGGGCTAAGCTCATCAGTACTGTATCCAGTTTGACGAAGACCAGTTAGACAAATGGGTTTTGTACCCACCGATCTATGGCTAACCACATGGGCCTACCGTTAATACGTCCAATCAAGTTTTCACTTGATCCGCAAATCCGATCACTTCAGTTCCTTTAGCTGTTCTATTCTGCAATACAACGAGACTGAAATATGTATGTCCAGTTGAATACAGATGCGCTGATCAGGAATACTGCCGCTTGACCATGCGAAACAATATTATACAACCACCCGCCCATTGAATCATCAATGTGCACTACATAGGGGAAATCACACAACGACGTCAGCTGCTAAGTATATCAACGCAATAATGCATGATTCAGAATGTCATCAAGGAAATGTCAATTGGTCTATAATCATGATCAACAAAATATTAGACGTTCTTTGGTGTGGGCCGAATTCTGATTGCATATTAGTGTGTCTATGAGGTGCATCATACAATCAGTGAAACAGTATTATTTACTGGATGACAAGGTTTCGAACAAAATTTATTGCTGTTCATAATCATTTCATCAATTATAATCACACAACTTCGAAACTTGAGTTTTACAGTTTCCTTTGTCGTCTCCTGTTTGTTGTCGTAGTAGGGGTAGTAGAATTTTCCAGATGTCCAGGTGGACAGGTGTTGAATCATTCCTATTACATGTATTCCCTATCAGATAACTCGATAAACAAAGCCTCCGTTATCAATCTTTCCCTCTACCCCGTTATTGCATTAGATTTTAAAACTGTCATCTAATCTCATCATCCTATGCTGTATGGTTGTGTGTAACTGCATGCAGCGAGTGCTATAGTTGAACTATTCTCCAGATTTCTTATCTTATTCGGGTCAACTAATCTAGATTTTGCTAGATTTTTATGGTCAGCTAGTCTGACTGACTGCACCTGTTCTACCACTTTGGCCTATGCGCTATTTGACCTGACAATCATTCCAGGCAGGGTATTAGATAAACTAAATTGTTCTGTTCAATTGGCTCCACAGCACTGTTCATTTAACCGACAAAGCTTGTTTATAAGTGAGTTTATGGGAAGTTTGAATGTTAGCCACTTTTACTCTTGCCTTGTTAAGAATTCTTCGTAAGGTTTGCGAGGTTCTCTCTTTGTACGGAAGTACTACTGATGATTCGGATTCCTTATTGTTGGTGCTGTCGTTATTCTGCTCATGTTTGATATGCATATCGTCACTAATATTACTATTATTACTATTATCACTATCACTACTAGTACTATTTATTTAATTTTTACACTTCCCTACATACTTTCTGACTAATTTATCAAGGCAATTATTAAGTTTGAAAGCTTCTCTGATTGATTTATTTCCAGACTGGGTATCAACCGCTATAACATTAACAAGCGCTACTGCTTGATATGACTAGTGTCCATCTACTCATGTCAATCAGTTAGTAGTATATAACCTTGAAAAAAGTTAGCCTAATAATACATATGAAAGATACTGTGATGAAGCGAATGGTCGAGTTCACAACCACAATGCTTGTATAAATGTTACAATACTCAAGTATACCTTTCCGGCTCATAGCGAGCCGTATTTTACAAAGGCTGACCTCCCAATAGTTAGAGGAAGGCTTCTATTAAGTGGAATAAGTTGCAAAGTTTTTTACACAGTCAACACGGGGGGGGTTAGAATCATCCGAACTTCTAAACTTTCATAATGTAAAAAGAAAGCGACACTAAACCACATGGCTTATAGATAAGTCAATGGCGGAAATGAACTATACCTTATTGTATGACAGCCATTATACCAAGCATATGTTTTATTCACATGTGACTAGAAATCAGTTTTTATAAGATCAACTACCAAAAGCTCCATGGAGTTGTATTTCATACCAGATCGGATGATACGAAGTCTTGACCAGTGGGGGTACAGCAGGTCGAGTGTGAGAGCAAATACTCGTCAGCTATAACACTGGCTAGTGCCAGTCTTGCTAAATTGTGAATTGGCACGAGTAGGAATTCCTGGGCTAGTCAGTGAATTGGGTCTCAGTGGCTTGCTAGCCTTGTAATCAGAAGGTTCTGAGTTGGAACCCAGGTGGTGGGTGCGTACCGATGGAGATTTCCAAACTAGGCTGGCAAAACTGGTGTTTTTCCAATGGATCTCTAAACTATATCAGCTCATCATGAAATCCTCAAAAAAAATCAAATCCCTGGAAACCACCCTTTCGCAAATTATAATTATAATAAGATTCTCTATCTAATTGTGTCTATAAAATAAAGTGCTTGGAATGCCATGAGATCTACATCCGACAAACATCTCGAGAAATCAAAATGAGAAGAAATGAACACCGTAGAGCATCGGTTCGATCACCGAAAAATCCGGCTGAATTAGAAATGCTTGAAAAATCATCAGCCACAGCTCGTCTACAAGCAATAGAATCAGACCACAAAATCGATTTTGACAATGTTGAAATCATCATCCAGAAAAAGTATCTCAGAAATCTTAAAGAACATCTCATATCAGAAGCACTTTATATCAAGTGGAATCCAACTTGTCTGAATAGAGATGATGGACTAAAACAGAATCTGACCTGGTTACAACACCTCTCTCGCCTCCCCATGAAGTGACAAAATCAACACGAATGTGATAAGCAAGTTCACTATGTAAACACACACTACTCTCGTATTTCTACACACTGATAAAATCCAACAATCTACACTTGATTTTGTTATCTTTACCAATTCACCAACTCGACAACGGAAAACGACCCCAGACAGACGAACGATGATCAAGTTAGTAAACTTTATTTTGATATCATAACAGACGTACGATAGTGTTGTTATTTGGTTTAGTGGTCTTTATTACTATTTTGACTTTCAATATGTCCTTTTAACTTGTCCTAAGTAGTCTATTTTCTCACCCTTTAACTCTTTGTTATATATATGCTGAGATTTTGTAAATTCTGGTTTAGTAATACCACTTTGATAAAGGTGTTAGCATAAAATAGCAAAACGTCAGTGAAAACAATATCGTTTAGTTATTCATTCATTGGGAAATACAAAAAAACCTTTATTATAATGAATATTATATACCCGATGCCCAAATTTTTTCAAACCGTTAAAAGTGAACTTGGTTTGGACATATATAATATAATCAATGTTATAATTATTAAAAACTGTCAAAAACTGTGAATGCAAGTGGCGGAGATGCTCTTTTATGAGAACAAAAAAACGACACCAAAAAGTTGTTGTATAACTTACAGGCAGTTGTAGTCTTCCAGTTATTCTCAGATTGTTGAACGACTGAACGACTACCAACTGGTGTTGCCTCATAATGCGAATTCGGTCCAAATGCTCCACTTCAAAATGTGTTTATAAAAGGGGAAATGTTGAAAAACCAAGAAATAATTCCCAATTTCGTTTAAGCAACAATCAATATTAATTTGATGAAAACAATATGCTGTTTGCTTGAAAATATTTATAGAATGCCGAACTTAGGATGCAGAATGGCTGTCTTACTTATTGTAACTTTGAATCACCTGAGAAATTTACTTCGATAATGGTCGAAAAAAGTTCACCGCTTCAAGCATGAGGCTTTGAAGTGTCAGTAGCGCTGTTGTTGTGCTTTTTTTGTGAGCGAGGGAACAATGGCCTCAGACTGAATCTTCCCTGTTCTACCAGGCTTGACAGTTAGGCAAAGTTTAGAAGTGAGTTGACCGGAAATCGAACCCTCGACCACGTATATAGTTGGGGAGCATTGCATCTTTGAAACACTGACACATCGTAAACTTACTTAGCTATGATCTAATTGCTATCCAAGTTATTGTTTCAAGACATAACTAAATACACTGACATGCTTAGAGAAGTTTGAAACTTAAACAGTCAGTACTCGAGTATTATAACCGAAGATAAAATAGATGTGTGGCTTGTCCGATGTCACAGTTGAATGTCTCTTGAGGGTATATCTAAGTCCTGTCGGATTCCTTCTGCATAACTGTTGGTGAATAAGTTTACTGGCTGACTGACTAACTGCCAGAATTCTTTGAGGCTTATCCTTATTGTTTTGTTATTTGATTTTCATCATCATCGGACAAAGGCAGCTGATGAAAATGCTTTCGGAGGCAGGCGTTCACTGCTTTCAGATCCATGTGGAGATCCCCAAAACTTAAGACAATTTTTGATTGGACACTAGTCAGTAACTATGTAATATGTCTAGTCCTATCTTCAGTGCAGACTGGATTCTATCAGTCAAGTTTGAAATTTGGCCATCATGCCTCTTGGTGGCTCGCCATCCCGGTGCACTGTGAATTGTTGGATAGGACTTTGCACATTACACTAAATACTGACTAGTGCCTAATCAGAAATATCCGATACAATTCTACAGGAAGTCAATCATTAGTTAGCTCAGTAGTTTCGTCTCTGACCCACTGCAGCACTGATTAACGCTGGTCTGAATCTCAGAAGGGACATCAGTTCATTCAAGGTGATTGCAGATACGCCTGCCTTGCTGACTGACTGGTGAGTGCCAACTAGCACGAAACCTAAGTCAACTAGGGTTCCTGTGGCCGATTGCTTCCAAACATCTAATACCGACAGTTCAAAGTGCACCATGATGGCAAGCTACCTAGAAGCATGGTGGCCACATTGCAAACTTGACTGACTGACAGAATTCAGTCTGCAGTGAAGATAGGACTAGAAACATTACACTAGTCACTGACTAGTGTCCACACAAAAGTTGTCTCAAGTGTTGGGGGTCTTTACATTGATCTGGAAGCAGTGAACGCTTGCCTTGCATCTATGTCTGTCTGTCTGGCCCTGACATTTTTATCTACACCGCCGCCTGTGGCTGCAAAAATGTTACCCAGTGTTAGTGAAACCTGTGACTTGTTTGAGATTTCTCATTTAGACTTCTTCATCACGCCTATCATGACTCATTTCACCTCAAGTCCTGTCGTCGCTGCCTGACTCGTCTACCAACTTGTTAGCTTTTGAGTTTGTATCACATTAGACATAAATCATGTGTGAAGTCCACATCTTCTAAAGTCTTCTTATCTCTCCAACATATGCCTGCCTTCTCCCTGATCAAGATCAGGAACATAATCAACAATGGCAGGCAGCAGTCTTGTCCTTCACATTCCCAGTGGAACAAAGGACGCCTTCAATCTAGAGTTCTGAAGTTTCTGTAGAAATGGTGATTATTTTTTTTTACAGGATGAGATTGCTAACCAGCCTCATACCCCTTATCCTTCGCACTTTATCAGTCCTATTGTTGGCTTAGGGAGGTAAAGGAGTTCGTCAGTGGCAGAGGATCAAACATTGAACCACATGCGGCATGGTTGGCGAGCATTAAACCTCTGTGCCACCTACTCATTCATACAGTAATTGGTATTTAAAGGATCGCTGCTTAACCCTCAAAAATATTACTATATCACAAATAAGTGACATGAATATTTCTAAAACTATTTCTTTCTAAAGACGCACACACACACAGAGCACAGCACAGTACAGCACGGCACATAGGACTGCATAGCAGAAACATCATCAAGTGTGCCAATTACACCCTTCAAAAAATAAAGAAACGAAAATTCAACAGATCACCAGATCATTGAAAAAATATATTTGAGTGAATAGAGAGAACTAATTTCAAGAATCCCTATATATACTATGCCTCACTTGTCATGCTTAAATTTTCAATCATCATCATTTTTTGAGGGAGGTTGGGGTTGGGGTGAATGGGAGGTGGTGAAGGATGACATAATTATACCTCTTTTTTTAAGAAGTAAATAAATAAATTAAAGAATTTTTATTTCTATTTCTATCACATTCAGTCAATCAGAAGATCTTGTCAGTTAGACTATTTTAAAAGAATAATGAATGACAAATAGTACCTAGTTTCTGGTGACATTTTCTTGATTTCACGTTGTTTTATACTAATAACTAGTTCAATGTGAATAGGTAGATAAGGCACTGGTGTTGAAAACGATGAGTGTTTTGATTCAAAACAATCTAAGTAGTGAACTTCATTACCTTGAGATGAAAGCAGATTTTGCAAGTATTGGTTTTTTAGGGATTTTCTTTTTTTTGACTGCATGGAGGATTTCATCATGAGCTGACATCAGTTAGAGAACCCCTGGAAAATCAGCCACAGGGAGTACTGGACAGCTGTTTCGTCAGCCCAGTTTGTGAGTCTTCAGAGGTGCGCCCTGTTCAGACAGTTAACCTGGAGTTCTAGTGGGAAGTCGTGACCAGTAGGGTACAGTAGGTTGACGATGAGGCAATAATTCGTCGAAGAAGACTATGCGAAATGGTCGCGCTATGTCGTGAATTGGCAGAATTTAGAATTCAAGGACCATTGGATCGGGTCCGAGTGGCTTAATGGTCTACGAGGTTGCCTTGTAACCATAAGGTCCTGGGTTCGAACCGTGGCAGCGTGTGCGTATTGCTGAAGAGTTCCAAACTAGGACGAAACAGCTGTCCAGTGGTTCTCTAACTAATGTCAGCTTATGATGAAATCCCCAATGAAAGCAGATTTATCCATATGAGTATAATAGTCATTTCATCTGCAGTCAAACCTCTGTTTCAACTTCATTCACTTCGAATAAGCCTACCCACAGACAGCGTTGACCGAGAAGTAATTTGGAAACTACTTCAATACTGTGGAGTTTAGTACCTCAGATCTTTATCAACCACATTCAATGGCTAGTTCTGTGACAGTGCCAGAATGTGCCACAATGGAAAACTCCGGGAGGTGTTTGAAGTGAATGTAGACGTAAGACAAGCTGGCTGCCTATTATCACCGATGATATCCTTAACTGTGGTGGACCGGAGTATACGGAGTACTGTGAACAGGGAGTGATAAAACAGTAATGCTGATAATATTAGATAGTTGGAGGCAATCGGTTACAGGAAGCCTTGCATGACCTAGGTTTCGTCTTAGCTGGCACTCATTAGTCATTAAGGTAGGCGTATCTGTAATTGCCTTGAAGGGACACATGTCCTTTCTGAGATTCGAACCCACATCACGCAATGCTGCCTGTAGTCAGAGACGTTACCACCTAATATCATCAACCATCTAAAGTCATCAAATCAATGTGCACCGTGATGGTTAGCTACCTAGAATGGTGGCCACATTGAAAACCTGACTGACGGATGGAATTCAGTCTGCACAGAAGATAAGACTAGAAACATCGCTCTAGTTACTGAATAGTGTCCAGCCAAATACAGAAGTACTCTTGACAGACCGATGAAAAAAAACTCTATAAAGATCTGAATTTCGCGTGTGGACGATTTATGTTAAATATCATTCGCGAAAACTGGAAGACCTGTAGACGAAAACCAACAAAGGGGTAGAAGAATCAGACAGCAAAGACAGGACTCCAGGTGATGAACATAGAGAAGATGCAGGTGATAAAGATACCCATATACCAACAACAAAAACAACAACAACAACAAACAGCACTATGGAGTATGTAACAATGTGATTGTACACTTTTTGTTATTTGTAGAAATTAGAGACATTGTACATGATTTTTGTTTAAAACGATTCTTGTTAAAATATATATACTTAACTTCCCTTACCATTGGAAATACACTTTACTGTTGGAAACTTCGCCTTCTCTCTGGCGGCTACTGCTTACTCGCTTCACTCACACCGTGTTGTAAACTTTGGATTTATTGTAGTAGTCTACTATCTTCCTCCGAAGATAATTCTACAACCAGCACACAGCATCTACAGCAGACGCTATTCCAACAGTGAACGCTCCCGTGGAGTATATAAATAATTTGTAGCAGAGGACTTAAACTTTATATCCAAGTAATCCTTTTTATTAATATAACTGGTTACTGTATTTTTTTTTGATAATATGTTGTTATTCAACATCTCATTGACTTGGATTATTATTCTCATATTTGTAATGTTGATGAGCTGTCATAACAGTCCCCTACAGCACTGATCATTCATTATCAAAGGAAAACATTTGACAGGGTTATTTCCTTCACTTATCTGAACAGGGAACACGGTTTCAAACGCAGGCAGTCTGAATGGATAAAGGTGTCAAAATCAGTCGGCCAGAATCGGAAAAGGTAAGAAAAGCTTTCATCAGTCTGAAATCGGTTTGGAAATTGTCTGCACTGCATTCAACCAGCATAAACAACAATATTCGAATTCTGTTCAACACAAATGTGAAGTAATTCAGTAAGTGCCTCTATATGGGTCAGAAGCTTGGCCAGCGTGTCCGAGGAAAGCAATTCTGAAAAGTTGCAGACTTTCGTCAACAGCTGCCCACTTCGCTGTCTGGTTCCATACTGAAGATCAAATGGTCGGTCAGAAAGAATAAGCAACAAGAAATTTAGGGTAACAAACCAACAGGCAAGAGCCGATAGATCAACAAATATGTAGGAGACAGTGGAGATGGATTGATCGGGCATGCATTGAGGAGACTATCGAATGACATCGCACGCCAGGTCATAGCTCGAACGGAATCTGAATGGGAAACGAGGAGTTGTGTGTGTGGGTCCACAGGTAACATGGAAGAGATCGTCCGAAGAGGAGGTGAAGGAGGAGGTGAGGGACTATGTGCAGTGGCCAGCTCAGCTAAAAAGGGACGTAAACAATTCGACATAGTGGAGATGTACTGTTGAAGCCTCGTGTTTCACCCGGAACTCAGGGGAACAATAATAGTAGTAATAAACTTAATTGAAAAGGCAATGCTCTTTAAGTGACTATATATATATATATATATATATATATATATATATATATATATATATATATATATATATATATATATATATATATATAAGAAATCTATGACCCAGGTGGGTGATTCTGATATGGATGAGTGGATGACTTTATTTCAAAGGTTTCATCGTCCGTCTAGACAACACCGCTTCAGCGTAAACTTTAGTATGAAGTGAATTTATTCAAAATTCTCCATGAATGATATGAATGTATCTACTGATAACTTTTGTTGTGATCATTTGTTAACTTGTATCACTACTCATCATTTTTATTGACTTCAATCCCAACATTTTTTTGTAATATGTGATGTTATTATCATCATAAATGTGTGTATGTGTGTGTTAATCGCTGATTATTCATGTAAGTCCTAGGCCTCTAGGACTACCCCAGCATTATTTGGTATTTGGGAAAATTGCATTGGAAAGCAGACAAAACCTGTTGCATGATTTTGTTAACTATTTCAATTTTATTCAAGTGTTGGTTTGTAGGGATTTGATTGGTTTCAGGATTTCATCATGAGCTGACATTAGTTGGAGAACCATTGGAAAACCTGCATGGAATACAGGACAGCTGTTTCGTCCTAGTTTGGGATTCTTCATTTTATGTTTTGAGATGAGCAATTATACCTCGCAAAAAGACACACAATTACTTCAAGTATTACTTTGTAGGGTTTTTTGTTTGATCGGTTCGAAGATTTCACCAGAAGCTGACATCATTTAGAGAACCATTCAAAAATTTGTGGGGGGGTACTAGACATCTGTTTCCGTTGTACTAGTTTGGGACTCTTCAGCAGTACGCACCCACTAAAGGGATTCGATCTCAATACCTTCTGGTTACAAGACGAGCTCGTAGATCTTTAAGCCACTGTGACACGATTCAGTGGCCCATAAATTCTAACTTCTGCCACTGAATCGGGTCCCGGTAGCTTAATGGTCTACGAGCTCGCTTACCTTGTAAACAGAATGTCGTGGGTTCCAACCCCTGTGGCGGGGGCGTACTGCTGAAGACTCCTTAACTAGTGCAACAGTAACAGATGTCCAGTACTCCCAGGTAGTTTTCCAGTAATTCTCTAACTGATGTCAACATTATGATGAAATCTTCCAACCTTTTCTCAGCTTTATTTTGCCTAAACTTTAACTTTCTGTGTATATCAGTGTAATATCTGAGCGGTGTTCATCATGTTGGCAGCCCAGTTTTTAACCTACATCATGTGACGTTTGCGAATGCATTGAAATTATTCAGTGTATATAAACTTAATTAATTCTCTGCGTTGTATACATATCTGATGAGAAATCGATAAAATAAGCGATTGCACCATCTCATTCTGCACACACGCATACACCCCACCCCCAGAAACTGCTGTTTTTGATTTATTCACATTTATAAAGGAGAATAAGTGTGTGTTAAGTTTTTGCATTTTAATAAGCGTGTTGCTTGCTTACCTGTGAAAATAAATTCACTTCATAATGTTTGCTTTGTATTCGATGATTCAGTGATAGAAAACTCACCAGTTAATCATGTGCGCGAGGGTTCAATTCCCGGCAGTTGCATTTATGAATCTCACACAGTTTAAAAGATGGCAATAAGCCCAAGGAAAGTAGGAACTGTTAGCCGTAAAGTCATGATTGGTTACTCATACATGGTTTAGACTTCCTTTGATATGAAATGGAATTTACAATGTATTGTGAATAATAAATTTGTGTGCTGTTGGTGTTGTCGTGGTTGTTTCAGTGTTATATCCGACTTCAGTGTGTCTACTTCAATGTGGGGAAAAATGTTTCCGAATGATAACCAGCTGTCTGAAGGCGTGTTAGACAACAACTAACAAATCACTAACACTCCATTACAACAGGAAGGTTAGATGGAAGTTCAGCAATCCTACGGCGTAAAATGAGACAGTACCAAAGCTACTGAAACTTCATAGCTTGTAGCCCTCAGGATGTGGTGAGAGCTGGCTGTTAGTCGAAATTGGTGGACAGTAATTCACGTCAATGTTTATGTCTCCAATATTGGTCGTGAGGAAAATGAGAATAAAGACTTTGCGTAGGCGGATACGTTAGCATATAGATGATCTGACATTCAAGAAACAGTCAGAAAGAGATGCAAGGTTAACTTTCTGTAAGAAACAACCAAACAGAAGACTGTGTTTTACTCCTAACAATAATCTATAATAATGTACATGAAAATCTATAAATATGTGTTGACTTCCTTAATAAATGATCTGTTTGGCTCGCGGCCCTTGTCTTCTGTTTTTACAAGAACACAAAGGAATAAAAGAAGAGTGAAATATTCGGGTAACACAAAGTATCCTGGACAAAAACAGTACAGTTTCGTAGAAGAGAATAGGTCTCCTCTGTTTAGGTGTCATAATTTTTTTTTGGCAATTTTCAGTAAAATGGATGTTTACCGCTTTGAAGGGATGTATTTTTCTCTCTCAGATACTCAAGTGTCAGTAACTTACTTTTCTGAATTCTGAAACATTATCCACATAGGTAGAACATAAGTTATAGGTGATCCTTAGCTTATGTCTTCATTTGGAAGCGTCAACAAAAGCAAAATCTATCCCCAAAGCTGTCTAACAGTTGACATATAATATCGTATGTATTTTTAGGAGGGGAGCATTATTGGGTTCTGATTAAAAATTCGAACCTACTCTGCAATTGATATTCATCTTACAAGGTGTGCCTTCATTTGCTCAAATTTGTGATTGCGTGTGTCTTGTAGTCCTTTGATATTTGAAGTATTCAACTATAGATTACTGCTTCAGAATGAGCGAGGCTGATGAGTCTCAGCTGGTGCGAAACATGCAACTCAGATCTCTCTCCTAGTCACTGGTAATTTAGTGTAATGGTAGAATTACAGAATAAAGTATTTACGAGTTGATCACGGATTGATATCAGTCAGAGAACCATTGAAAGCTACCACCAGGAAGTAGACAGCTGTTTCCTCCAAGGTTTGGAATCATAGGCAGTACGCACCCATCACCAGGGTTCGAACCCGCGACCTTCTTTTTACTCGGTTAGCTAGCCCGTATACCACTCAGCCACTGGGATCCAATTCGATGGCTATCCCATGAATTACAACTTCTACCAATTCGTGATTTAGCACGACCTCAGCCAACTCGTGAAAGCAAAACTAACCCTTACAAACTAAGTATAGAAAAGCAAAGTATGCCAGGTCATCACTAGGTACTTAAACTTTACTATCGTAGTTCTTGTTATATGTTTTATCATTTTGAGAAGACGTCTTCCTACCAGTAAACTCCAAAGTCATGACAAATACAAAAATAGCGTTTACTTACAGATATGGTGATTGAGGTCCAGATGCGTGTAATTCACGATGATAATTAGTTGTTGCAATTGTACGAAAACCATCTTGATGATCCCATCCACCAGGAGCATATGATCGATTGGCTGTGTTAACAAAATATTACATTATGATAAATAATATAATATAAAATGGCATAAATTATCAGTGAAATTACCTACGCTATAAGAACCCCCTATTACAAAGGAATATTCTACGCAAAGAATTTATTTTATTTCATTTTTTTTTGAATATTTACGTTCTGATTGTTTGTATACCATTCACCGTTAATTACACCACTGTGACTGATTGGTCTTCTCACGTTCAACTTCCAGTCACTGAGTAACACATTCTAAGCTGACTTCACCTACCAAGGTATGAGCAACCAGGGAATATCACCAGACCTTAGTTGTTGAGCAACAGCGTCGATGGTTTAGGGTTAGAATGTTTCCCGGCCATATCCATGGCTCAGGCTACGAACTCCCTGACCTTGTTCAGATGATAGTAAGCTCACAAAACAGGGAATACTTGGAGTAAGACTAAGCAACATCACCTTGTAAAAGCCAACACAAATGCAGTGGAAATCTCAAAGAATAAATCTTGAAGCTAGACGAGCCATTCGGATTGTAGATGTTTACACAGGTTTCATTGACTCACTGAAGCTCATCAACGTGATACACATTCAAATTCAGTAAAACTAAAGTTGAACTACTCTGATTAGTTCATCATGGTTATATCAAGACATTAAGTGTTTAGCAGTGAGTGAGTGAGTGAGTGAGTGACTCATTGGATTAGGCCATCGACATTGTATCCACTGGATCATAGAATCCAGATGCTGGTAAGCATCAGCTAAACTTCTTTCCGAAATGCAGTAAAGACAGTCAATTCTAAAGAGAAAATCAAATTGTGACAATATATACATGTAGGCTGAATTCACAATTTTGCGAATTAATTCGCAATTTGTAGATTACATGTTTTGAGCGGGTGAAATCTCAATATAGTTCACTTCGGAAAGTGCAATTATCCACATCACAAGACATGTGATCGCTTTGATACCATAAATGGTGGTAATCAAGAAAGCTGGCATATTTGCATAAAACTATCCACATACTTCTATGGTAAGATTTTACTTCCGCGAATTGTATAAATTGCAAATTTTTTAAAAAAATCAACTTGATTTATGCTGTTATTAGGTTGTTGTTGTAACTAACCAGAAATTAGGTGATTTGATCTGACTTGGCTCTTACTGATGAACTGTTACCCCCTCCTACCCTCTATCAAGCGAAATGACTGCCCGGTATGTACATCACACTGCGATCTTACTGACTGGCTAGAAAACATGACTGGTTAAGTCGTGAGCAGTTGTATACGACTACTCATCTCAACCAAATGATGAACAAAGTAGTCGCGAATAAGTAGGCACCTCAAAATGTACTGTAACGCTATATACTTCAGGCTGATGAATTCTCTCTTCTCGACGATTCGTTTTCATAAGCTGCTGCTGTACAATGGGAATTATATTTAATAAAGAATTTATTAGACCACTCAAATACTGGCAAAGTTTGTTCTCGATAAATGTATTACGCAATGCAAAGTGTAGTCTAGAAGGGGTGACCAACTGTCAATTTGCAAAATGTCGTAAAAGTTAGGATGACGTAGTAAGTGTGAGAAAAATGACTCATCAACAAACAGTCAAGCAGCCATCTTACGCATCCCATTCTCCAAGTAGACAATTTATCAAGTCCCCTTAACGTTAAGGGGATAAGATACCGCCGCCTTTGGCCACCTTAATGCGCATTTATCAGCTAACTTGTTTGTTCGTGTGGAGCAAAGTAGTATATCAGTTGTACACAACGTCAAGTCTGTAAACTTATTCTAGAAAACACAGTCCAGCTTGGCTAGCAAGCCAGAGGAGAAAGGAAGAATACTGGCAACTCTGTCCTGTACCACCTTGTCAACTCTGAACATCAAGCACCACCATCCTGCATGAATGCTTTACAGTGCTACACAGAATCTCTAAATATCGTTTGAAAGGAGTTAGAATATGCGATGTGTGCATAACTGAATCACCAGCTATTTAGGATTTGAACTAGAACCTCTGGATTCAAAAGCGCTACATATATTCACTCGGCCTACCTTGGCCACAGTAAAGTTCTTACTATAATTTTGCTTCTTTGTATTACGTAAGTTTACTATTGCTATTATTATTATTATTAGAATCATCCATATTTTATTACCACCCTATTACTGTTTATTAATAACATTGCTTTTTCATACATAATTTTGTCCCTTGTTATTTCCCCCTTATACTCTCTTATTTGTACACTATAGTGAACAACCTTCTTAAACATACTTAGCTACTTAAAATTAATTATCGTTGGCTTACTTTTTTTGCACTTTTACTCTATTCCTTCTTTTGTATATCTACTGGTTCTGATTATATTAGCATTATGAGTATTACAAAATTATCCTGTCAATAACCATCATGTAACATTAGTTTTGTGGTTGTTCTTTGTTCGGCACTATTTAACTGACAATCTTGTTTGTGAACGCCACTATCACCATCTTAAAAAAATTTTGTATTATGCATCATTACTAACACTACCATGACTTACACTGCATTAGTGCTGACAATAAAAAAAAAACACACAACCTGAAATGTTTATTTTATGATTGTTTAGTGTTGTTCAATCAAATTAGGTGATCATCTTAGCTATTAACATTCTTAAGAACATCTCATAATTTCCTGTGTGATCATAGCTGTTACTGTTCACCACGCATACACATATCATAGCTTCCACTACCCAGTACTGAAATATTTTTTTCACTATTAGTGTTTATCTTCCTTTCTACTTGGTATTTTTTATTTGCATTTTTTTCTTTTCTTTTGTTTTTTTCTTTGTTATTTCTGAGTTTCGTTTTTTTGGTTTATTTTTGTCGTGTTTTTTAAATTGTTTTTATTTATTATTAATTTTTTTTGGAATTCTCCTTTTTAATGTACGATGAAATTAGATGCAATATTGTAGATTTGTGCTGAAAATTCCACACTGTACCACAAGTACTGTTTCTGGAATAAAGCGAAATTGTTATTGTTATTGTTATTATTATTTATGTAAAAACACTTTTTCGTCTTTTCACTAATTCTTGTCCACTGTGCAAAATTATATTAATCAGTCATTATCTCAGATTTATAAAGTTATCCCAACTTCTGCACACCTTACATTACGTAATACATATTTTCGAGTAAAAATTTTATCAGCACTTGATTGAAAAATGCCTACTGAAATTTTCCAAAACAATGGCTAGTGAACAAAGAATATTCAAAAATTTTCGATAATCTGGTCTTCATCAACAGGTTCTACAGTCGTGTATCCATCCATAATAGTGAATGAATCAATGAATGAATTAGTGTTAATAAGAAACATTAGTGTTGTTTAAATTACATCGAATCAATAATTATAATAGTATCACTACGGCTTGATAGTATCGACATGGGGTAATACACACTGGATATCAGAAAAATTAGGAGAAATAACAATTATACAGATCCATGAATTTATAGTCTTCACGTGTGCAATTCATGGATGATACACATAGTAAAATAATTACTAGCAAGTTAAGAAAATTTGTTCAGAATGCTTTTAATGCTGGTAAACTACATGGTGATTTCTCGCTAGCTAGCCACTTTTAATTGCACCCACCAATTCAACTAAGCTTGTGGTGGAGCGAGTTATTTTGGCCATTAATCAAGGAACTTGAATTTTCATGTTCGCTAGTGTGGTTAAATAAAGGCGTAGTGAGAAGCATCAACAGCTCGATATTCGAACACCTGATCCAAACTGGCCACAAAGCTAATATTGAACAGTCTTTCCACATCATCAGCTATCATGTATGAAACGAATTGACAAAACATTGAGGTACCGTCAGAAACAACCAGTGCATTGCGTGAAAAAGAAGCAAGTTCAGCCACTACCACTACTACCTTGGTCGGCCTTTAGTAGAGACTATAAATTCATGAATTTGTATGATTATTATTTCTCCTAAGTTTTCTGATTTTCAGTGTGTATTACCCCATGTTGATACTATCGAGCTGCAGCCCATTGATACTATCATCATAATTGATTCGATGTTATTTGAACATAATTAATTTTGTTTAAAACAAACAACAAAGGTCAGTAAGTCAGGATTTAATGAATTCAGCAAATTTCGGCATATGTCACTGCAAACGTATGTATGCCTAAGATGCGCTGATGATATTTTTATTGTCTGTGAAAGCAGATCAAAAGCTGAAGACCTCCTGTTGATAAAATTCAACTCATGCCACCTGAATCTCAATTTCACAGAAGAACATGAAGAAAATGATATTATTAAATTCTTAGACGTTTTCCCAGTGAAAAGGACTGATGACAAAATCGAAAGATCTATATTTAGAAAGTCTTCATGGACAGGACAGTACATGCATTTCAAGAGCTTTTTTCCAATCTAGTATAAAAAGAACTTAGTCAGAACATTGTTCAATACGGCACAAAAAATTTGTCCTGACAGTACTACTGAGCATGAAATAAAAGCTCTGAAGGATACTGTATCTAAGATTGGAATGTGCGTCGGTGGCACAGTGGTTAGGACTCTCGCCGACCATGTACATGGTCCGGGGTTCGATCCTCTGCCGACGCACACCTGATACCTATGGTCGGCCTGCTAAATTTGGGCTACCGATATCACATTCTGAAAATTCCATACCTGTGCCAACAAATACGGTGTAGAATCAAGCTGTAATGAAAGAAAAATAAAATAAATACTCTAAAGAATTTAGCCTATGCAAAACTATCCAAACAGTTCCGAAGAAATCTGTCTATATCAGTTTGGCTGGTTGTCTCACATAAATTCTTTATTCAATTTAATTACGATTAGTGTACAGTAACAGCTTATGAAAATGAATCGACCCATAAAAAAGAAAATTTTCTTCTCTGCAGTTGTTTCCGTCTTCTTTTTCTTATGATGCAATATGGTAGGGAATTTATTTCAATCATTGAAAAATTATGAAAATGTAATAATCATATATCAATATTACTTGTTTCGTTATAAAGAATGATAAACTTTATTAGAT